CCACCCCAGGTTACTGTCACCCACCCCAGGAGACTGTCACCCACCCCAGGAGACTGTCACCCACGCCAGGTGACTGTCACCAACCCCAGGTGATTGTCACCCCTCAGGTGACTGTCACCCACCCCAGGTGACTGTGTCACCCACCCCCAGGTGACTGTCACCCACCACAGGTGACTGTTTCCCCCACCCCAGGGAACTGTGTCACCCACCCCAGGTGGCTGTGTCACCCACCCCAGGGGACTGTGTCACCCACCCCAGGGGACTGTGTCACCCACCCGAGGTGACTGTCACCCACCCCAGGTGATTGTGTCACCCACCCCAGGGGACTGTGTCACCCACCCCAGGGGACTGTGTCACCCACCCCAGGGGACTGTGTCACCCACCCGAGGTGACTGTCACCCACCCCAGGGGACTGTGTCACCCACCCCAGGGGACTGTGTCACCCACCCCAGGGGACTGTGTCACACACCCCAGGTGACTGTCACCCACCCCAGGTGACTGTCACCAACCCCAGGTGATTGTCACCCCTCAGGTGACTGTCACCCACCCCAGGTGACTGTGTCACCCACCCCAGGTGACTGTCACCCACCCCAGGTGACTGTGTCACCCACCCCAGGTGACTGTCACCCACCCCAGGTGACTGTCACCCACCCCAGGTGACTGTCACCCAACCCAGGTGACTGTCACCCACCCCAGGTGACTGTCATCCCTCAGGTGACTGTCACACACCCCAGGTGACTGTCACCCACCCCAGGTGACTGTCACCCACCCCAGGTGACTGTGTCACCCACCCCAGGTGACTGTGTCACCCACCCCAGGTGACTGTGTCACCCACCCCAGGTGACTGTCACCTACCCCAGGTGACTGTCACCCACCCCAGGTGACTGTCACCCACTAGAGGTGACTGTCACCCACTCCAGGTGGCTGTGTCACCCACCCTAGGTGACTGTGTCACCCACCACTGGTGACTGTGTCACCCACCCCAGGTGACTGTCACCCACCCCAGGTGACTGTCACCCACCCCAGGTGACTGTCACCCACCCCAGGTGACTGTCACCCACCCCAGGTGACTGTCACCCACCCCAGTTGACTGTGTCACCCACCCCAGGTGACTGTCTCACACCCCAGGTGACTGTCACCCACCCTAGGTGACTGTCACCCACCCCAGGTGACTGTGTCACCCACCACAGGTGACTGTCACCCACCCCAGGTGACTGTCACCCACCCCAGGTAACTGTGTCACCCACCCCAGGTGACTTTCACCCACCCCAGGTGACTGTGTCACCCACCCCGGGTGACTGTGTCACCCACCCCAGGTTACTGTGTCACCCACCCCAGGTGACTGTCACCCACCCCAGGTGACTGTGTCACCCACCCCAGGTGACTGTCACCCACCCCAGGTGACTGTGTCACCCACCCCAGGTGACTGTCACCCACCCCAGGTGACTGTCACCCACCCCAGGTGACTGTCACCCACCCCAGGTGACTGTCACCCACCCCAGGTGACTGTCATCCCCCAGGTGACTGTCACACACCCCAGGTGACTGTCACCCACCCCAGGTGACTGTCACCCACCCCAGGTGACTGTCACCCACCCCAGGTGACTGTCACCCACCCCAGGTGACTGTCACCCACCCCAGGTGACTGTCATCCTCCCCAGGTGACTGTGTCACCCACCCCAGGTGACCGTGTCACCCACCCCAGGGGACTGTGTCACCCACCCCAGGGGACTGTGTCACCCACCCTAGGTGACTGTCACCCACCCCAGGTGACTGTCACCCACCCCAGGTGACTGTCACCCACTCCAGGTGACTGTCACCCACCCCAGGTGGCTGTGTCACCCACCCCAGGTGACTGTGTCACCCACCACTGGTGACTGTGTCACCCACCCCAGGTGACTGTCACCCACCCCAGGTGACTGTCACCCACCCCAGGTGACTGTCACCCACCCCAGGTGACTGTCACACACCCCAGGTGACTGTCACCCACCCCAGGTGACTGTCATCCTCCCCAGGTGACTGTGTCACCCACCCCAGGTGACCGTGTCACCCACCCCAGGGGACTGTGTCACCCACCCCCAGGTGACTGTCACCCACCCCAGGTGACTGTCACCCACCCCAGGTGACTGTCACCAACCCCAGGTGATTGTCACCCCTCAGGTGACTGTCACCCACCCCAGGTGACTGTGTCACCCACCCCAGGTGACTGTCACCCACCCCAGGTGACTGTGTCACCCACCCCAGGTGACTGTCACCCACCCCAGGTGACTGTCACCCACCCCAGGTGACTGTGTCACCCACCGCAGGTGACTGTCACCCACCCCAGGTGACTGTGTCACCCACCCCAGGTGACTGTGTCACCCACCCCAGGTGACTGACACCCACCCCAGGTGACTGTCACCCACCCCAGGTGACTGTCACCCACCCCAGGTGACTGTCACCCACCCCAGGTGACTGTCACCGACCCCAGGTGACTGTCACCCACCCCAGGTGACTGTCACCCAACCCAGGTGACTGTCACCCACCCCAGGTGACTGTCATCCCTCAGGTGACTGTCACACACCCCAGGTGACTGTCACCCACCCCAGGTGACTGTCACCCACCCCAGGTGACTGTGTCACCCACCCCAGGTGACTGTGTCACCCACCCCAGGTGACTGTGTCACCCACCCCAGGTGACTGTGTCACCCACCCCAGTTGACTGTCACCCACCCCAGGTGACTGTCACCCACCCCAGGTGACTGTCACCTACCCCAGGTGACTGTCACCTACCCCAGGTGACTGTCACCCACCCCAGGTGACTGTCACCCACCCCAGGTGACTGTCACCCACCCCAGGTGACTGTCACCCACCCCATTTGACTGTCATCCCCCAGGTGACTGTCACACACCCCAGGTGACTGTCACCCACCCCAGGTGACTGTCACCTACCCCAGGTGACTGTCACCCACCCCAGGTGACTGTCACCCACCCTACGTGACTGTCACCCACCCCAGGTGACTGTCATCCCCCAGGTGACTGTCACCCACCCCAGGTGACTGTCACCCACCCCAGGTGACTGTGTCACCCACCCCAGGGGACTGTGTCACCCACCCCAGGTGACTGTGTCACCCACCCCAGGTGACTGTCACCCACCCCAGGTGACTGTCACCCACCCCAGGTGACTGTGTCACCCACCCCAGGTGACTGTGTCACCCACCCCAGGTGACTGTGTCACCCACCCCAGGTGACTGTCACCCACCCCAGGTGACTGTCACCCACCCCAGGTGACTGTCACCCACCCCAGGTGACTGTCACCCACCCCAGGTGACTGTCACCCACCCCAGGTGACTGTCACCCACCCCAGGTGACTGTGTCACCCACCCCAGGTGACTGTGTCACCCACCCCAGATGACTGTGTCACCCACCCCAGGTTACTGTCACCCACCCCAGGAGACTGTCACCCACCCCAGGTGACTGTCACCAACCCCAGGTGATTGTCACCCCTCAGGTGACTGTCACCCACCCCAGGTGACTGTGTCACCCACCCCAGGTGACTGTGTCACCCACCCCAGGTGACTGTCACCCACCACAGGTGACTGTTTCCCCCACCCCAGGGAACTGTGTCACCCACCCCAGGTGGCTGTGTCACCCACCCCAGGGGACTGTGTCACCCACCCCAGGGGACTGTGTCACCCACCCGAGGTGACTGTCACCCACCCCAGGTGATTGTGTCACCCACCCCAGGGGACTGTGTCACCCACCCCAGGGGACTGTGTCACCCACCCCAGGGGACTGTGTCACCCACCCGAGGTGACTGTCACCCACCCCAGGGGACTGTGTCACCCACCCCAGGGGACTGTGTCACCCACCCCAGGGGACTGTGTCACACACCCCAGGTGACTGTCACCCACCCCAGGTGACTGTCACCCTCTCTAGGTGACTGTGTCACCCACCCCAGGTGACTGTGTCACCCACCCCAGGTGACTGTGTCACCCACCCCAGGTGACTGTGTCACCCACCCCAGGTGACAACACCTACCCTCTTGGACCTTCACAACACCAAATGGTCGCGGGACAGGTTGACAGGTCTGGCATGCCTGCACGTGCAGCCCGCCACGGCCCACCACGGCCCACCACGTACCACCACGGACCACCAGGGCCCTCCACGGCCCTCCACGGCCCACCACGTACCACCACGGACCACCAGGGCCCTCCACGGCCCTCCACGGCCCACCACGGCCCACCACGGCCCTCCACGGCCCTCCACGGCCCACCACGGCCCTCCACGGCCCACCACAGCCCGCCACGGCCCACCACGGCCCTCCACGGCCCACGGCCCACCACGGCCCGCCACGGCCCACCACGGCCCTCCACGGCCCTCCACGGCCCACCACGGCCCACCACGGCCCGCCACGGCCCACCACGGCCCTCCACGGCCCGCCACGGACCACCACGGCCCACCACGGCCCGCCACGGCCCACCACGGCCCGCCACGGCCCACCACGGCCCACCACGGCCCTCCACGGACCACCACGGACCACCACGGCCCACCACGGCCCGCCACGGCCCACCACGGCCCGCCACGGCCCACCACGGCCCTCCACGGACCACCACGGACCACCATGGGACACCATGGCCCGCCACGGACCACCATGGATCACCACGGACCATCACGGCCCGCCACGGCCCGCCACGGACCACCACGGATCACCACGGACCACCACGGACCACCTCGGATCACCACGGATCACCACGGACCACCACGGGACACCACGGACCACAATGGGCCACCATGGCCCGCCACGGACCACCACGGATCACCACGGACCACCACGGATCACCACGGACCACCACGGATCACCACGGACCACCACGGACCACCACGGACCATCACGGCCCGCCACGGCCCGCCACGGACCACCACGGATCACCACGGACCACCACGGGACACCACGGACCACCTCGGATCACCACGGATCACCACGGACCACCACGGGACACCACGGACCACAATGGGCCACCATGGCCCGCCACGGACCACCACGGATCACCACGGACCACCACGGATCACCACGGACCACCACGGATCACCACGGATCACCACGGATCACCACGGACCACCACGGGACCACCACGGCCCACCAGAGACCACCACGGATCACCACGGACCACCACGGGACACCACGGACCACCTCGGATCACCACGGATCACCACGGACCACCACGGGACACCACGGACCACAATGGGCCACCATGGCCCGCCACGGACCTCCACGGATCACCACGGACCACCTCGGATCACCACGGACCACCTCGGATCACCACGGACCACCACGGATCACCACGGATCACCACGGACCACCACGGGACACCACGGACCAAAATGGGCCAGCATGGCCCGCCACGGACCTCCACGGATCACCACGGACCACCTCGGATCACCACGGACCACCTCGGATCACCACGGACCACCACGGGACACCACGGACCACCTCGGATCACCACGGATCACCACGGACCACCACGGGACACCACGGACCACAATGGGCCACCATGGCCCGCCACGGACCTCCACGGATCACCACGGACCACCTCGGATCACCACGGACCACCTCGGATCACCACGGACCACCACGGATCACCACGGACCACCACGGGACCACCACGGGACCACCACGGCCCACCAGAGACCACCACGGACCACAACGACGAGGAAAAAACGTTGAGTGACTCAGAGGTTGGAATCTTGATCTTGAGGTTATCGTGAGGTTATCATGTGGTTATTTTGAGGTTATTATGGGGTTATCTTGATGTTATCTTGTGGTTATCCTCAGGTTATCTTGTGGTTATCTTGAGATTATTCTGAGGTTACCTTGTGGTGATCTTGAGGTTATCTTGGGGTTATCTCGAGATGATTTCGGGGCTCAGCGTTCCCGCGGCCCGGTCCTCGACCAAGGCCTCCACCTTTTTGTTACACATCCCCAGGAAGCAGCAGCCCGTGGCAGCTGTCTAACTCCCAGGTACCTATTGACTGCTCCTATTACTTACTATTTACTGGTAATTAAAGTTCACATGACGTTAGTAAACGAGCTACAAATATTAATGACTGAACTAGAAGGGCTTAGCTGCCGAGTTGATTTGCGTATGATAAATCAGGTGAACGTCCCGAGAATGATTTAAAATTATCGCCTGTTGGTGGTGTCGAACCCACGTGTAACCGTAAGTTAAGGAGACTGGCTCCCTGTTGATTATCTCCACTCTCTGAAAAAACATACAAAGTACCCACAGCAACGCTAATCTTTCCCCCTAATTAAGCTCAAATGAGTGAAATAACTTCGTATTTGGAGCTAAACTTACTGTGTGTTTAATGGGTCTCATGCAGCGTAACCACAGGTTAACTCTAGTACTAGATAATACGACCATAAATCTTTACAGAGTCTAACTAAACCGACCGGACACGATTAGCCTTTGTGGTGGAGATGACAGCGATGTCTAGGAGCCGTAGCACTTCGGATGTCTCCGATATTAGACGATACTAATTCACTAACTGCTGTAGGGACGAGGCCATGTTGTGGTGAGTCTCGGAGCCCAAGCGATGCGTCCTTTTCCCTCCATTGTGGAGAACGTCTGGAAAATTAGTCAACTTATTTATTTCATCTCGTTCACGAACGAGACAGTATTTGGCATCATTTTATGGCCTATTATTTAACATCAAATTCCAGAAAACAATTTTCCACTGTTTATAACACTGGATCGGAAGGTTTTTCGTGATTTAAAGCACATTTCATAAATGTCTTCGCCCACACACACGTGGTGTCCGGAGTTCGAGTCTCCCAGAGCCCAGGTGAATGTGACGTTCAGGGGCCAGATTCACGAAGCAGTTACGCAAGTACTTACAAACGTGTACATCTTTCCTCAATCTTTGACGGCTTTGGTTACATGTATTAAAGAGTTTACGAGCATGAAAACTTGCCAATCAACTGTTGTTATTGTTATAAACAGCCTCCTGGTGCTTCGGAGCTCATTAACTGTTTAATATTTGTAAACAAAGCCGCCAAAGATTAAGTAACAGTAATTACTCTGTCATCAAGACAATTAAACAATCAATAAGTAATTCGTACTGACACACGGAGGACAGCTTAATCAAGACAGATTACATTAACACAACTATATCACTCAAGACAGCTTCCCAAACAAGAATGTGTCACCTTACATAATTACGTTAATTACACTGCCTCACCGGACAGTTAATCACCACAACTAATTTACTTCACTGACTCTTCAATTAACCAATAAAGGTCACAATTAACCTCGTCACGCAGACAATCAAACACGATAACACTACATCCCGTCCTCTTAAAGTAATGTCGCTTTTCGCTCGTCTGCTATGGACAAAATTGAACATAATTTGAAATGAAATCAGCGCACGAAAGTGACCTACTGTCCCGTTTTCTGTTTGACTCCTCCGGCCTACTCGGTTAGGTTAGGAGGGGAAACTTTAGGTTAGACAGGGAAGGGTTGCTGAGCCACAGCAACGCATGGCCGGGTACAGCTAGTAGTAAATACAGAAACTCACCAGGGCCAACACGAGCAGTGACCTGCAACATTCTTAACCACCACGAGACATTGCTGTGACTGAGAGTGAGAAAGTTAGGGCAGTGTTCTCCGTCAGTTCTCCCAGACAACCCGTTTCTTCAAAGGTCGCAGGACAACAGCTCTAAAGTTCTTTCTTTGTTCCAACAAGCTCTAAAAATCGAACTTTTGTAGTAACTCTTACCCGGCATTAAGGGAAAAGTCTTTTGTTTGTTGCATGCAGTTTGGCTTTTCGGTTTTGTTGTGTGTGTTGCCGCCCCAGCGTGGAGTCCTTGCTATCGTACCCGTCAAAAAAGGACCTTTTTTCCTGAAATATTACTGAAATATTTCCATAAAAACTTTTAATTATACTAGCTCCTCTCTTTTTTGTAATTTATCAAAAGCATAAAAGACGTCAACATTGAACTGAATAAAAAAAAAAATTGAACATCTTTAGATATGTAATCTTGAAACATCTGAGAAGAACTCCTCCTGAGGTGTTTCCTCACCTGCTTCTCAGAGTGTTCAGGGAAATGTTCATTATTCTACGCCAGAGTGTTCTTCATGAGAATGTTCTTGGCTCTCAACTTACTTGTTCCTCAGTAATATCACTTGTTCTCCACTGACGATGTTCTTGGTAATGTTGATTAATCTATGCAAGCGTTTTTATTGTGATTTATTTATATTCTATGTAGGTGTAGGTGTAGAGGAGACGGGTGTAGGTGTAGAGGAGACGGGTGTAGGTGTAGAGGAGACGGGTGTAGGTGTAGAGGAGACGGGTGTAGGTGTAGAGGAGGAGGGTGTAGGTGTAGAGGAGACGGGTGTAGGTGTAGAGGAGACGGGTGTAGGTGTAGAGGAGGAGGGTGTAGGTGTAGAGGAGACAGGTGTAGAGGAGACGGGTGTAGGTGTAGAAGAGACGGGTGTAGGTGTAGAGGAGACGGGTGTAGGTGTAGAGGAGACGGGTGTAGGTGTAGAAGAGACGGGTGTAGGTGTAGAGGAGACGGGTGTAGGTGTAGAGGAGACAGGTGTAGGTGTAGAGGAGACGGGTGTAGGTGTAGAGGAGACGGGTGTAGGTGTAGAGGAGACGGGTGTAGGTGTAGAGGAGACGGGTGTAAATGTAGAGGAGACGGGTGTAGGTGTAGAGGAGACAGGTGTAGGTGTAGAGGAGACGGGTGTAGGTATAGAGGAGACGGGTGTAGGTGTAGAGGAGACGGGTGTAGGTGTAGAGGAGACGGGTGTAGGTGTAGAGGACACGGGTGTAGGTGTAGAGGAGACGGGTGTAGGTGTAGAGGAGACGGGTGTAAGTGTAGAGGAGACGGTTGTAGGTGTAGAGGAGACGGTTGTAGGTGTAGAGGAGGTGGGTGTAGGTGTAGAGGAGAAGGGTGTAGGTGTAGAGGAGACGGGTGTTGGTGTAGAAGAGACAGGTGTAGAGGTGGGTGTAGGTGTAGAGGAGACGGGTGTAGGTGTAGAAGAGACAGGTGAAGGTGTATAAGAGACAGGTGTAGGTGTAGAAGAGACAGGTGTAGGTGTAGAGGTGGGTGTTGGTGTAGAGGAGACGGGTGTAGGTGTAGAGGAGACGGGTGTAGGCGTAGAAGAGACAGGTGAAGGTGTAGAAGAAACAGGTGTAGGTGTAGAAGAGACAGGTGTAGGTGTAGAAGAGACAGGTGTAGGTGTAGAGGTGGGTGTAGGTTTGGAAGAGACAGGTGTAGGTGTAGAAGAGACAGGTGTAGAGGTGGGTGTAGGTGTAGAGGAGACGGGTGTTGGTGTAGAGGAGGGTGTAGGTGTGGAGGAGACGGTTGCAGGTGTAGAGGAGACGGGTGTAGGTGTAGAGGAGACAGGTGTAGGTGTAGAGGAGATGGGTGTAGGTGTAGACGGGATGGGTGTAGGTGTAGAGGAGACGGGTGTAGGTGTAGAGGAGACAGGTGTAGGTGTAGAGGAGATTGGTGTAGGTGTAGACGGGATGGGTGTAGGGGTAGAGGAGACGGGTGTAGGTGTAGAGGAGACGGGTGTAGGTGAAGTGGAGGAGGGTGTAGGTGTAGAGGAGACGGGTGTAGGTGTAGAGGAGACGGGTGTAGGTGTAGAGGAGACACGTGTAGGTGTACAGAAGGTGGGTGTAGGTGTAGAGGAGACAGGTGTAGGTGTAGGGGAGACAGGTATAGGTGTAGAGGAGACAAGTGTAGGTGTAGAGGAGACAGGTGTAGGTGTAGAGGAGACAGGTGTAGGTGTAGAGGAGATGGGTGTAGGTGTAGACGGGATGGGTGTAGGTGTAGAGGAGACGGGTGTAGGTGTAGAGGAGACGGGTGTAGGTGTAGTGGAGGAGGGTGTAGGTGTACAGAAGACAGGTGTAGGTGTGGAGGAGACGGGTGAAGGTGTAGAGGAGACGGGTGTAGGTGTAGAGGAGACGGGTGTAGGTGTAGAGGAGGAGGGTGTAGGTGTACAGAAGGTGGGTGTAGGTGTAGAGGAGACAGGTGTAGGTGTAGGGGAGACAGGTATAGGTGTAGAGGAGACAGGTGTAGGTGTAGAGGAGATGGGTGTAGGCGTAGAAGAGACAGGTGAAGGTGTAGAAGAGACAGGTGTAGGTGTAGAAGAGACAGGTGTAGGTGTAGAAGAGACAGGTGTAGGTGTAGAGGTGGGTGTAGGTGTGGAAGAGACAGGTGTAGGTGTAGAAGAGACAGGTGTAGAGGTGGGTGTAGGTGTAGAGGAGACGGGTGTAGGTGTAGAGGAGACAGGTGTAGGTGTTGAGGAGATGGGTGTAGGTGTAGACGGGATGGGTGTAGGTGTAGAGGAGAGTAGTAGGGTGTAAGCGCCACAGGTCCCCATTTTTTTTTTTTTGCCAGAGGACCCCTGTAGGGTGTAAGCGCCACAGGTCCCCATTTTTTTTTTGCCAGAGGACCCCTGTGGGGTGTAAGCGCCACAGGTCCCCATTTTTTTTTTCAGGTCAAATATCCCCTTTGCGCCCCAAGGGTTTCAGGTAAATTTAGAAAATCCCCTGTGGGCCCCAAGGGTTTCAGGTAAATTTTGTCAGTCGCAGATTTTAGAAGTAAGGATTTCTTATGAGAAAAATAATTTCCGAGACTTAGAAGTTTGTTAAAGCCTTATGGGAGAAATTCAAATAACGTGTGTAGCACTTTAGGGCTTCCAGGAGAACTCTACGGACA